TGGATATCCATTATCCTTGAACACTTGCAAGAGGTATTCTTCTTCCTCTTGGCGTAGTTCCGTGTTGCTGCAGTGTGTTGTTGCCCTTTTTTTCAAGATTATCATCAAGTGTGTAGGATCATGAGTTGCATTAGATAAGTTTAATTTATATATCTCATATACATGACTCTGGGAGATCCAGCCATAAAATTTACTGGTTAAAACTGAAAAACCTGCAGATTCTGTAAATCAGGAACAAAAACAGACGCTGTTGGAGAAGCTCAACAGGTCTGGCAGCATCTGTGAAGAAAAATCAGAGTTACCGTTTTGGGTCCGGTAACCCTTCCTCAGAACAGATTATTAGTTATTGGTTTTGGAGTTTGCATGGAGGTGACATGGGTGTGATAGGCATGGGAACAATGGGAATGGTGCATAATTCTGCATGGGTGTGAGGGGACAGAGCTAACTGTGCGAACAGTTTCTAAAAACAACTGGAACAAATCGTCCCAAAGAAACTAGGTAAGCCTTCAAACCAACCAACTTTGGCACTTGACCATAGCCACTAACATCTGTTTCCAAGATCAGAGGACCCACACAATTTCACCCTAGCTCTCTTGAGAAAACAAAACAATTTAATGGAACCCTTTAAATGTAAGCAGGTGTGCTCAGTGAGGAAATTACACCGGCTCAAGGTTTCCACTTGACAGAAGTACTTGTGTAGAATTTCTGTTTTAAAAAAGTCCATCTATAAAAAGGATTCCAAGCAGCATTATACGTAGGCAAGACTTTTACAAAAGGAGATTACAAGCCAGACAGTTGTTCAATAAGTCTGGGAAGATGAAGGAGTGGAATGGAACAGAATCAACTAAGTCCTCGTGTGAACCAAAGTATTTCTTTAATTTTGCTGACATTGAGCTGAAGGAACTTTTGGTTCTGGAACTTTGTCAGACAACCAGTTAGATAGAAAGGTAACAGCTTTGGAGACAATTACTGGCAGATAAACATACTTTGGTGTTATTAGATGTTATTACATGTGGATGATAAATGAGAAGACCAACAACTGAGAAGTACTTAACAGGACAGGATCCATTCAAAGGAGGCACTCGGGCTTGTGTGGAGTTTCATGGAAACACAGAAAAAAGCTGAGGGAAGAGACACTAATGAGAGAACAAAAAGGTGAAGATTTGAAATGACAGCGGCTGAAAGTTTGGGGGGACGCAGCTGACAATAGAAGCATTCTGTGAAACAGTCATATAGTCTTCATTTGGTCTCCCCAGTGCACAGCAATCCAAAATGTGAGCAACAAACACATTTTAGAAGAACACAAGTTCCTGTTTCACCTGTAAAGAGCATTTTAGGCCTCAAGTAGTGAGGAGAGGGAAAACAAAAGTGGATAAGTGCATTGTCACAGTGCCACATTCAAAAGATGCCAATTCTTCCACAAACCCTCATCTAATCCTGCAACTCCCTATGCAAATGATGGAGCTGCAACCACTGCACTTTTATCTCACCTGTCCTCACTGTTCATGCTCATAAACACTTCCCAGGTGAAATAGTGACTTACTTGTCCCTTCAAACGAGTACACTGGCATTTGTTCACAATGCAATGCAGTCTCCTCTATATTGGAGGCAGCTCTGTCCTCTCACGTAGGGTTCCCAATGAAGCTTAAAACAAGCTGGAAGAACAGCATCTCATCTTTCAATGAGGCACTTTACAACCTTTTAGCCTCAATACCAAGTGCAACAATCTAAGATTTTACCTTCCAACCAACTTCAAATTTATTCTCATTTTCATATCTGAATGGCATAAATTAATCATTCTGTCATTTACATCAGCTCTAGATACATCCTTGGTTTTATTACCAATCCCATTAGCCTTGCACCCCGAAACGGCAATAATTCATCTCTTCATTCCATCCTATCACAGATATTTCTTCCTTCTCCCCAACTTATCCCAGTTTAAGTTAGTTAAAATGTAATATTTTAATCCTTCCCAGTTCCGAAGAATGGTTATCCACCTGAAATATTAGCACTATTGATCCCTCAAAAAGACGCTTCCAGACCTATTTCCAGTATTTTCTGTTTTTATTTCTGATTACTTCCAAACCTTTCATTTACTCAGAATGTGAACTCTACAGCTTCACAAAGCAATTTTAACAATACAGCTCAGAATTTCACAAAATTTCCATTTGAATTAACAGATTATAAAATCTAGAATATTTAGTTAGAAGTACACAATGATTGGTTGTGTGCGCCAAGATTGATTTGGAAATGAGTTTAAAAAGCTGCATTTTCCCTAATCAGTTAGTCAAACATTCAAAAAGATAAACACAAAATGTAATCCTTTCAAATTATTCATACACTGTTGACACAAGGAACAATGAAAGCAAAAATAGCTGAAGCAAATACTTGTGTGCGCGTGGCTTGGTCAGCAGGTTATTGTCTAAAGATATCGTACAGCAATTGCAATAACACTCATATTACCGCTGTTAACTATGGAAAAAGGGTAGCTGCATTTTCATTGTGCAGCACATCAAATTTTTACAGCAGTTTGAATTGGGGGAAAACAATATCTACTTCTTTGTGCAGAATAAACAGCAGAGTTTGGGTGATAAAAGTAATCCAAGTTTCTACACTTTCTCCTCATAACCAAAGCCCAAAATTGATCCCGTATATTTATATCATCTGAACATATTGTCCTTTTGTTCTACTTTATCTCATTGTCATGTTTTTGTCACATGATGCATAACTCCCCTGACACCTATTATAATTTCCTATGTCTACAATTTTAATGGCAATATGCAGATCGTCCATATATCCATTCACCGCTGATCTGTTTCTCAGGGTTTAAATGTCACATTACTTCTAAAAAACCAAATCTCTCTTTTTGGATTGTGTATTGATGCTGATGTCAGGAAAAAAATGCACTCTTCAGAAGTGCTTTGAGACTCTATAGGCAGGCTTTCTGCTCATTTTCTTTACAGCACTTAGTTAACATTACTTCATACTGCTGCTAAAAACAGTAATGGGTCATAAGGGGATTTGGCCCATTTGAACCATTTCCTTCTATATACTGAAATTGCTTTTCTCACTGAACACAGATATTACAAACTGTGCAAAAATGATAAAAGTCAGATTTCACACCCCAAAATTTTTTTGGCCTTAAAATGTTAAAAATTTTATGGCATTATTCCAAGTACAACTTCTTGGAATACAGCAAATAATCTGATGCCTGCTGTCACGTTGGAATGTTTTAATGATCATTGCAGCAAGAGGTGAAATATGTCCATTTCAGGTGAGGCAATGCTGGAGGGCTCGACTCAGCACTGTAGTGGGATTGTATGGGCAGAGCCATCTTTACTCCAAGGCTGCTCTTCCATTGCACCTCCCAGCAGGGTGTTGACAATAATGCAGCCTTAAAATCTAATATTTTCTACTTTTAAAATTGATTAACCCGCTTCTTCCGGTCTCAGGTAGTCAGAAACCAGATGTACCTTTAAAAATGTGCTCCAAGACCTCAGAAGTCCTGATGCACTGATTATGCAGTAATGCCCATGAAACTGAAACTTAAAGTTACCCAGTACATAAAATTCTGCAAGACAAGTCTTCAAATCATTTTAGAATCGGAGCCTTTGCAGGCTCAAAACTCTCCAGTTATACCGATTCCCTCATACTTGATCACCCGTCTGCACCTCCAGGATATCTGAGCCTTCCTATGCCCTTTCTCCAACCTCCTCACACCCCACCACACCAACCCAACAACCTGCCACTTGCACACCCTCACCCTTACCCCTTACCCTGACCCTGACCAACCCATAACTGCCTCTGACCAGCTTCCCTGCACCTCACTTACTCGCCCAACCACACACCTATCTCCATCTAACCCCTCACCCACATGGCTTCATTCAGTAGCTGTCGTCAAGAAGTGATTTGGAGCCTTTAAAACGTTTTATTTACTGGAATGCAAAAGCTATTGCACTGGATTCTACTAATGGTTCATGCTGACGTTACCTGCATGTTTGCTGCACCACATCTATTGTGATGGATCACACATTGAAAGTCTGGCCAAAACAGGCACAGGCACATAAGTAGGCAAGTGCTCACCCAACTGTCCTTTAGTTAACATTTCCTGTTCCCTAGTTCCATTTGATCTTGACATCTCTCCCAGACCATACTAGATGATAGAAGACACCCCTTTCATCTTTTTTACAAAGTTAACATACACAAACAATGAAAAACAGACAAAAACAACACATGACAACATTATATTTTTACCTTTAATCTGAGTACACATTAACATTCCAAATGTCCTTTTTGCCAGTATTTAAGTGTTTACAAAGAAAGTTTCTTAGAACTTAATTTTATCAGATAGCTGACTGCTGCTATTCACTCAGAATAGACCTCAATTCAGAAAATTCGCCATTCTTCAGCATCTAATTTAACACTCCGACGTTCATACCCACTCTTATAATTCATGCATTTTGCTGAATCTGCATTATCCAATAGTGAATTATTGATGTAATACTCAATGGGCATTTCTGATTAATTATTCAAATTTTCTTTCAGTACTTTCACGGAGAAAAGCTGATCTTTTCAGTTTCCGATGCTAAAGGGCAATATATACCACACTTGCCCAGAAGAACAATTTTAAATCCTCCAACACTTGACACAGATTTACATAAGAAGCATCACTAAAACCAAGTTTCAAGTTTCTGACACATTCCATGATGAAAGTTTCAAAACAGCTTCAAACACTTCATATTTTCCATTTTTTTTGTTCACCCGAATAGTATGTTCCACCTTAGGAATTTTCATAAATATACTCAACTCTAGGATTCAAACTGATCTCTGACCTCACTTGGGTGCCCAATCAATTCAGCTGTCCAACTCAGTATTGCTATTCCTTCAATTAATTGATCATCCACAATCTGAAATGCCACATTGTACAGTGTTACATTTTTTGCATACGTTATTAGAAGCTTTGAGAGTCATATGTATCTAGATATTTGGTAATACAGTACCTTCACTTTTTCTCCATTTATGTCAATAGTTTTAATCATGAAATCAACTCCAATAGTGGCGCCTTGACCTGGTGGAAATAAACCCTGTAACAGTAGAACAACAACTTGGATTATTTGAACTGATTCATTTTGGAGTACACCTTGATAGATGCAATGCTAGAACAAACACTAATAGATACACTGTAATCCCATATCCAGATACTTATTTCACATACTGAATCAAGTTACATTACTTATAAAAAAGGGGAAAACGTTGAAATTGGAATAGAAATCTTAGAATCCCTAGAGGAAAGAGGCATTCGGCCCATCGAGTCCACTTTGACCCTCTGAAGAGCATCCCATTCAGACCTAACCCTCCACCCTATCCCTGTAATCCCACATTTAGCCCAGCTATTCCACCTAGTCCACACATCTCTGGACACTATGGGAATTTAGCATGGTCAATCCACCCAATCCACACACTTTTGTGCCTGTGGAAGGAAACCATAGCACTCGGAATAAACCCACGCAGACACTGGGAGAATGTCTCTCCGTGTGGAATATGCAGAGTCACCGGAGGCTAGACCACAGAGCTGTGTTGCCCTATGATTAAAAAAACTGAAGTTAGTAGCTGAGCTATTGCTCTCTTGCAAATTTGGAGTTATAAATACTTATTACTAAATTAAGTGAACTGAAAACATGAAAAAATGTACATGCTAAGAACATACAAGATATATTTTTGTTGGTGATGCAATGCTATAAATGTCCAATATGTACTAAATTTATCCATGCTACCTTACTAGAGACACTAATCTGCTTATTTTAAAATAGCTTAACACCAGAATTAAAAGTGGAGAAAGGAACTTAACAAAAGCATATCAGTTTGTACATTATCATTGATAATGTCTGGTTTATGGCTTCATATGCAACAGATGAAGATTATAAAAGTTAATTAGCATTTTACTTTGACAGCCAGTGCTGTTGGAACAGAAAGGGTTCCCCAGGATGATTAAATGAGCAAACAAAACAGGATAGGTTCAGTCCGAGAATCAACTAGTCTGTATGTTGAACTATCATCTGGAGGACCGCAACTGGTCCGAGTTCTCTAATGGATAAACAATATCCTTAATGTTAAATAGTCAGACAGAAAAAGAAAAAGGAGATTAAACAATATCCAGTTCATTTGTAGGTAGCGCAAATACATTGAAAACAATAATAAGCAGATACACTGCAAAAGCTAACCCAAGAAATAAATTGTATCAAACTCTATTAAAAAAATGGTTGCGCCAGCATAAAACATCAAAGAGCTAATATTCTTCACTGTTAACAATTGTTAATATCTCCAGTTTTCCTTAAATTTTCATTACTTATGTTTTGAACAAAGATGGCACTCCGCTTGTTTAAATCCAAGGCAATTGAACGTTCTATTTAAAAAAAATTGTCCACACAACATCCCTACCCTGGAAGGACTAAATCCCAAAGTTTTCAGCTACCAATTATTTTTTCCAAGCTCACTGCCAAGAATGGATATCTTTCCCCAGAGTTGCAGCAACAGCCAACATTTGGAACTCCTTTCAGGAAGTGCAGTTTTCTCAGACTTCCATTTGGATTATCTGGTAAGGATACATTCCAAAATATGGAATCGGTTTCTCTGCATCATATGGTATTCAGAGTTCTTGGGGAAACTGAACAGGAGCATGACATAGCTTTTGGGAGTGGCAAGAAAACATTGTCTTGACCCCAAGGAACTAAAGGGTGACCCTAGAATTAGTGGATGCAGTGCTGGTCATCTTTCAAGGCTCTATCAGACTCTGGAACATTTTTTATGGATTGGAGGATTGCTAGTGTAACTCCATTATTTAAAAAAGGGGATGGCAAAAAAAAAATTGGAGTTTAAAAGACTAGTTAGCTTGACATTAGTATTGTCTTCACAACCAGAGTCCTTAATGAAAATATTAAATAACAAGGCACATGAAAAACAGTGACAGGATCAGACAGAGTCAACATGCATTTATAAAAGGGACACCAAGCTTAACAAATCTGAGAGTTACGTCATCGAATTATTCCAGTAGAGTTGATTAAGGAAAGTCAGTGGATGTGGTTTGTTTGGACTTTCAGAAGGTTTTTGATAAGATCCCACACAAGAGATTAGCATGTAAAATTAAAGGGAGCCTGGCAACAAAATGTAGGAATAAACAGGGTCTTTTTCCAAGTGGCAGACAGTGACCAGAAGTGACAAGGGTCAGTGTTTAGACCCCAGCTATTCACAATGTATATATCAATGATTTAAATTATGGCACTAAATAGAATATCTCCAAGTTTATAAACCACACAAAGCTGAAAGAAAAGGTGAGCTGTGAGGAGGATGCAGAGATCCTTCAGTGTGATTTGGACAAATTAAGTGAGTAGGCAGATGCACAGCTGATGCAGTATAATATGGATAAATGTGAGGTTATCCAGTTTGGTAGTAAAAAAGAAACAGGAAAACAGATTTGTTTCGAAATGTTGCACAATGCTAGTCGAATACCCTGGTTATTTGTACAAATTGAAAACAGCACATTAAAAGGAACATTACAATTGTGTAGAACAAGGGAACACTGGAGCACTCCAAGTCTGGACATAATGCTGCGTGCTGGACACTCAATTAATAAAAATAAAACAAAAGTCTCCGTTAAAGATTTTTCTTCCACAGGAAAACTGGCAATGACTCTCACAATATCTTAAAGTGCATCTTTTCTGGAAATGAAATGGCTGCCGCTGAAGCTGATGTGCCCAGGTGATGACTTTTTATTGACCAGCATGTTGAAAAAAAAAGTGTGTAATGGTAATAAGTAAGCTCGTAGCAGCAACAATTCAGAGCAGTCTCTCGGTACATTTATCAAAGTGGCAATTTGGCATGAAGGCAGTAAGTGGTACTTTGGCCTTCATAGTGTCAGGATTCAAGTCAGGAGCAAGGCTGTTTGCTGCAAAGCACCTTGGTGAAACCACACCTGGAATACTGGTGCGAGGAAAATTAATGACATATCTAACAATGTCTCAAAAACACTCATCTTCCCAGCAAACACACACTTCAACGTTATGATCCCTCCAAGCTCACCATGTTAGAAGTAGATGTGTCCCAGAAAGGTCTCAGATCATTTCTTTAGAACCAAAGGCAAAAAGCTTGTCGTCATGTTAAAATCCCTAGGACAACTCAGGCGAATTACTCAACCATTGAGGCGCAAAATAGGTCTGTTTTTTTGGAATACAAGCGGTTCTACACGTACTTACTTAGCAAGTATTTCACAGTTCACACTGGCCACAAACAACTGGAAATGATCTGTTGAAAATCTGTGTCAAATGTACATTGACAACTACATAAACAGCAAAGATCCAAGTATATGTATGAAGTACAATACAAACCAGACTTCTTTTACTTAGAAATAAAAGTAAAATACTGCAAATGGTGAACTTGAAATAAAAAGCGCTTGTTTCTTTAAATTCACTCAGAGCTTGAGTGTGTCAGTGGGCCAGCATTTATTGCTTATCCCTGGTTGCCCTCAAAATGGTGGCGATGACCTGCATTCCTGAACCACTGCAAACCATTTGGTATGGATAGATCCACAAGCCATTAGGAAAGAAGTTCCAGGATTTTGACCCTGGAGAAACTCAGCAGGTCTGGCAGAATCTGTGGAGAGAGAAACAGAGTTAATGTTTCAAGTTCGTTCTGACTCTTCATGCAGGACTCAGCGAACAGAGCAGAGTATGAGGATGGAAACAGGAGGAAAGTTAAGAAATCTGACAGAAGGAAGAACAGGTAGTTGAGCCAAGGATTATCCACTAGAGCCTATTGGAAATATACCTTGGGACAGGAAATCCTGGGATTAAGATCTGCCTACAAGTGGTAAGCAGATGCTGGTGGTGGAAGGGCACAGGATGAACCATGGCAAAACATTGCCGAATGATGCCGACCATATGGGAAAGTTAACACAGGATAGCAGGGAAGGTTAGGATGGGGAAGTAGATGTGCCCTAAGGTGCCATGGGAAAACCTACAGATGGTTTTGACCAGACTCCTGCCACCAAGTCAAGGGAATACGCATTGCTTGATAGTTATCAAGTTGAGTAGAGACATTTGCAGTTAGGAACCATACAGCCAAAAAAAAAACTATACTTAGAGTATCTGCAAAAGGAAAAATTCCAAATGGGAAGCCCACTAGAAATAAACTGGGATTATTACAGTTTGTTGATTAACATAGACATGGAGAGTCAAAAGGCCTGTTTTTCATGCTGCATGACTGACTCAGATTAGGAAACTCATTTCACTGGGAAAACGTGAAGTTGAAGTAAACTCACCCCAGTGTATAACTTCTTCACTGAGGCACCCTGCTTTACAAGGGATTGCAGGGGAACTATCATTGTTGAAAGGGTGGGGAGGGGTTGCTGGGGGACAGCAAAGTCCCTATAGTAGTTTCATAGCTCCAACACCTATGTACTCCCATCCCACTGGTGCGAAGTACTTCCCAAATAGCCCATTGGTTAGAGATTAAACCAATTTGGCAAGTGAATAAGATACAGAAGGGAGGTGCAATGGTTGATGATGCACAAACAAATGTCGGAAAAAAAAACCAAGTCATTCTGGCAGGTAGATGGTATACACTCAGGCAACAAAGGGAGGAATGTGAAAAAAAAAACAAAAGAGGAGCTGGTATCACAATATTGAGCAAGGAGTCAATTACTGCCAGAAGGAGGGATGATATCTTAGAAGGCTCCTCAATTGAGGACCTATGGGTAGAAGTTGAAAAAAAAATGAAAAAGGATTGGGGGGGGGGGGGCAGATGTGTTTTTTTTGGCACATTCCTACAGTTGTTGCATAAATAAAGAAAGGCAAAAATTAAAGAACTTAAATTTCA